TTTTTTTTAAATATTAAAAATTAATTTTGGTTGTAAACATTTTTGATCTATAAGAAATGCTCTAATCTTGAGTTTAAACTTAAACGAAAGCTTAAACTTAAACTAAATCTAAACAATTTTCCCCCCTCACAGGCATTTCATGAGAGCATTTCATCTCCAATAAACCATTTGGCTACCATGGATGGCGAGTTACCACCATGGAATAAACATGGAAGCCATAACAGTAGGGTTCCCTATGATACAGCAGGGGGTCAGGAGGTAGGTTACAGTCATTTTATTTTTGTATATTGTGATAAAGTAATGACTGAGGCGAATTATTGTGAAAAAGCAGAAGAGTTCTCTCATGGCTCCAAACAAAGCCAAAGGTAGGTGACATATTAATTGTAAGGTTGAAGAGCAACAATATTAGGTTGCATCAAAGACTATAGAATACTTTGGTTGCATCCAGTTCCTCACTTCTAAACTCAAATATCTCTTTAGGAGCATGACGTGATAGGAGACAGCTTTGCTGCTGGAGAACCAATGACACCACTGTCATCATGTATGAGTGGTGCATTTAAGGCTTTGCTACCAGATTACCATGGAACTTCTTCAGCAATGTTAACAAACTCTGATAAATATTCCTATTCTCCTGATAATCATTGTCTCATCAAACCTGACACTGCAGTGGATGAAAAGATAGCAGTGGAGAGAAGGGAAGAAAGTGATTTTTTGAAATACCCTTTGGGTGAAGCATTAGCTAGTGCCACACATATGCTTCCTCTCAGGTGTGCCCAATATGTGACACATGAAAAGGTATGTAACCTCTACACTGCATAACCAAAATCAATGTTATTTCTCCATTGTCACTTAATATCTGTATTTTCACAGAACCGAGAAGTGGACCAGGGAAATGGTAATTGGACATCAGTGATCAAAGATGCTTTAGAGATGAGTAATGGAATGGAAATGGAACAGACTTTATCCATGGATGAACGTGGCCCCCTAATGGACTATAATCCTATATATAAAGGACCTGAAACTGAGGCACAGTTTAGATTGAAGGACCACTATCAGATTGCAGGATCCAAACTAAATGAGAAGATGGATGGGCAAGGAGTAAAAGAAGAATCGGATTCCTTTATTTCAATGTTGTCAGATGACATTAGTAAAAATAAAGATGTTCTGGAAATGGTAGGTGCTGATATTAAAAAATCTTTTGAATGTATATTTTATAAAACAGAATGCAAAATAAGCCATCAAAGAACAAATAATTAATTTATTGTCATATATTTCTTCTGTTCTCAGGGGAAACATGAGGAGCCAAGCATATTAGATGTTGGATCATCTCTAGGAAAAGAGGAACTTGGAATTGCTGGAATCGGAGAACATGAGCCAGGGTTATTACCAGGATTTAACAGGAGTTCATACACTCCTTTTTTTTCATCAGAAAGTCTTTTGAAAAGCGAACAGTTTCCAGGTAATCCTTTGGACAACCAGTCTGTTGATCACACCCTCCAGGGAACAACACAACAATGTGGGCTGTCGTGCAAAGGTGTCAGTCCTAGAAAAACTGCCAGCACAAATACTGGCTTCAAACATGCAGAAGTAAACAATGAAACTGTTCTTCAAAGTTCTACTATATATGGTCTTCATCTTCTTGATTTTCAAAAGGGCTGTCACCAAGCAGAGGTTACAGATGGAAAAACTTCAGTTAATTCTCAGGATCACTCCTCACAGCACAATGTGCAAGACGAGAGAGTAAAGGCAAGCAATCCGCATGTCTCTGAGACTACAGTAATAAAACAAAATGCTGCATATCTGCCCAAAAGTCAATACTTTGGCAGTAAGCTAAAAAAGCAAGTTTATGATCTTGTATCCACTCCAGCCTCAGTGGGCAGTCAAAACACAGCTGTGGTTGAATGTCAAAACTTAAAACTGCGGATCCCAACAGAAGAAAGGATCTCTGAGAACAGTCTACCTGTGCCAGGAAAAATTGAAACTAATGATTTTCAAGAGACATCTATTAACACAAAAACTGAACTCAGTCTAAAGGTAGAAACAAAATTTTCCCCTGAAATTCAGAACTCTTCTTCATTATCAGAGAGAGTTCCAGATCTACCTGTTGTATCCAACAGAATTCACACTGATTATAAATGCAAAGATTCTCAGTTTGAACCAGCCGAAAGTGGCAAATTAAATGAGCTTTGTATTCAAGAGAGCAATTCAAAAAATGTGACACTGACACTTACCTCAACTTCTGTTTTTACTCAAAGAACTGCAGATGAATGTGATATTCATGTCCAAGAAAAACAAACCCCAATAAGTCTAAGTACGGTTCTTCTGCCTTTTAACGAGAATGTAAAAAACTCTGAAAGAAGTGAAAAGGTACTTCTCAACATTACTTCAGAAAGCAGTATTCCTCCATCTACTGAGAATGTTCAGGAAGCTCCACCTTCTCCCACATCAAGGACGGACTGCTCCTCTCAACATAACCTACAAAAAGCATTGCAAAGGCATAAGAAAGCAAGAAAAAGAAAACAATCTGAGCTTGAGGCATTAAAAGGACCAATATACAAATCTAATAAAAGAGATGACTGTTCTATGTATGGATCAGAAATATTAGACAGTGCTGTCAAACAAGACACAACAGGATGTGAGAAAGCTAATCAAAATGTTTTATTGGCTGATCATAACAGCACTGCACCAAAAGAGGACTTAATTACAAATGATGTAAACCCACCTACACCTAGGAAAAAATGTCGGATGGCACAACTTGAGCTACTGGAAGATACAGCAGAGACCTCACAGAAGCCAGATCATAGCTGCTCTGACGCTTCACAGGAAGAAGTACCGTCAAATGCTAGGATCAACAGGAAGGCTGTTTCTAGAAAGAAACTGAAGAAAAAAACAAGGTTACATTTAAAGGCAAAAAACTCTGCTACTCTTGGCAATCAGTGTTCGTCTCAAAGCACTGTCTTGTCCCCAGAAGAGGACTGTACATCACATTTTCAGGTCAGTGACACAACTCCAATGAAAGGAGTCAGTAATCCAGCAGTAATGGAACATGCCATCTCTAGTCTAGAGTCCATTCCAGAAAAATTACAAAAGTCCAGAAAAAGGGCTACAAAGCAAACACTACAAAGCAAAGATGATCCACATAAAGATGTTCCCATAACATTTCCAGAAGTTGAGGCAGACTTGGATGTCAAAGGGCATCAGGAGGTGAGAAGATTTCCTTTAAAGGCTTCTAAAGGAAAAAATAGGAATGCAACTAGTCTGCTGAATAGACAGTCTTCACAAGACTCTGAGGGTCAAACAGATTCTGTTTCAAGCTCAGTGACTGAATCTTTAAAGATTCTAAGCCCTCAGAATAACCCAAAGAAATCAAAGCAGAAGAAAAGAGCACATATCAACAAATCAGCAAAAACACCCAACGTGTGCCCACAAGAGGATATGAAAAACACGATGACTCACAAAACAAAAACTGTGAAAGCAAAAAGTCCTCTAAAAAAGGCACTTAGAACAGATGACAATGAAACTACTCTTTTGGACACACAGCCTTCTGCAGCCACTGCTACGCAACCAGATTCTGTTTCAAATGTAGGAAATGAAGTTGAGTCTCCTGTTATTTTCGGCACACCAAGAAAGTCACCGAAAAAGAAACTGTCAAAGATTAAATGTGAAGCAATACATGTACCTGCTGTTGACCAAACAACAGCTCAACAAAGTGTTTTGAATGCACTCTCAGAATCTGATGTCAGCATTGTGCAACCAACTACAAAAAGATTCAGAACAAGAAAAAAACTTGACAAAAAAGTTTCTCATAACACAGTCGGTGAAAACTGTGAACCTGCTCATATGACTCTTTCTTCAGTTGATTCTGTGTATGCTACAGAAACGGACTATTCAGGTGTCAGCCAACAGAACACAGAAAAGACATCAAGTAAGAGGAGAAAGACAGACATCAAGTTTATAGAAGCACAATCATCCACTACTAGCCAAAAGGATGACGTCACTTTACTGCCCTCAGAAGATTTTTCATCTATTGTGGTTTCAAATCCAGAAGAGACTGTGAAAGCCAAAGGATTTTCTAGAAACAAAACAAATGACAACCACTTAAATGGTAATTTGGTTGAAGAAACATCTTTATTAGCAACTGTGACACAAGAAAGTTCTATTTTACCTACAAAGATTGGCTCTTCAAGCAGTTTTAGACTAAGCAGCACACTGAAAAAGCCAAGAAAAAAGACGGTAACCAAAATCAAAAATGAGGCAGCAGAAATACTCATTGTAAACCAGCAAGAAGATCTGGCTGCAGTACCCTCAAAATCTGGTGCAAACATAGCAGCCTCCAGTTCACAAATGACTTTAAAAGAAAAAAGAAATGTGAAAAAGGCAGTTAGGCAGGAAATTAAGGATGACCATTCAGTTGCTCTTTTCAAAATGCAGGCTTCTACACTTACTCTGAAGCAAACAGAATGTTTTTCAACTTCAGTTCACAGCACAGCAAAAAGATCTAGGAAAATGTCTGACATTAAACATGAAGCAGTACATACACCCGCAGCTGACCAAACAATGCAACAAGAAATCCATCCATTTGATTCTACATCAGCCACAGAAATGGATAATTCAGATGTTCTCAAACAAAAGAAGACAAAAGTGATGATGAAAAAACAGCCTAAAAAGGCCACTAAATGCAAAACAGACATTAAACAAGCAATCAGCGATATTAGAGAACAGTCTACTGTGCAGCAAGAAAATTCAGTTTCAAACAGAAAGACAAAGGTCAGGTCAGAAGACCTGACAAAGAAATGTAAGAAAAAGAGAACATCGGAAATGAAAGTCACAAATGATCAACCAAAGGACGTGGTTCTGCCTCCACCAGCATCTCAGAGTAAGGATGCAACACAAGACCCTTGCATAAAGACAGACAATGTGAATGAAACAGCTGAAAGTCATGTTGAAAACCAGGTTTCCATCACTACTAAAGATGTTGCCAGCCCTCAGAGCTCACTGAAGAAGGCAAAGAAAACACGAAAGAAACAATTGCTTTTGCTTGATGAGGCAGGTGTCATGGTCACTGGTACACAGGTTGCAGATTTATGTAAACTGTCTGATAGTCAGACCGTAGGATCACAGCAGCCTGAAAAAGATGATGCTGTGGTTGATCAAAAAGACCTCAAAGCCACAAAAACCCCTAAGAAAAGGGGTAGAAAACCTGGACGAAAGAAGAGGAAGATGGCTTGCCTGTTAACTCAAACCATTAAAGAAGAGGAACATAAAGATATATGTTATGACAACAGAATTGTCTGTGATTTTCAAAACAGCACACAAATTCAAACTTCTGAAATTTCACAGAGGATAACAGATATTATAGAAGAACCAGTACTGAAATCAAGAAAATCAACCCGGACACAAAAAATAAACTCAGGTCCAGTTGTTGAGAATTTGTTAACCCAGGGCAAGAGCACAGTCTCTTTAGACATCACTGGGTGTCACACAACACTTGGAGAGACTCTTTCAAGTTCCATGCAAACTGCTGATTATGAAGACCAATGCACTGTTGAGAAAAAGCCACCAAGACGAGGAAGACCCCCTTCAAAGAAAAGCAAGAAACAGAAATTATTTGTAGCATTAGCAACTGTGACACAAGAAAGTTCTATTTTACCTACAAAGATTGGCTCTTCAAGCAGTTTTAGACTAAGCAGCACACTGAAAAAGCCAAGAAAAAAGACGGTAACCAAAATCAAAAATGAGGCAGCAGAAATACTCATTGTAAACCAGCAAGAAGATCTGGCTGCAGTACCCTCAAAATCTGGTGCAAACATAGCAGCCTCCAGTTCACAAATGACTTTAAAAGAAAAAAGAAATGTGGAAAAGGCAGTTAGGCAGGAAATTAAGGATGACCATTCAGTTGCTCTTTTCAAAATGCAGGCTTCTACACTTACTCTGAAGCAAACAGAATGTTTTTCAACTTCAGTTCACAGCACAGCAAAAAGATCTAGGAAAATGTCTGACATTAAACATGAAGCAGTACATACACCCGCAGCTGACCAAACAATGCAACAAGAAATCCATCCATTTGATTCTACATCAGCCACAGAAATGGATAATTCAGATGTTCTCAAACAAAAGAAGACAAAAGTGATGATGAAAAAACAGCCTAAAAAGGCCACTAAATGCAAAACAGACATTAAACAAGCAATCAGCGATATTAGAGAACAGTCTACTGTGCAGCAAGAAAATTCAGTTTCAAACAGAAAGACAAAGGTCAGGTCAGAAGACCTGACAAAGAAATGTAAGAAAAAGAGAACATCGGAAATGAAAGTCACAAATGATCAACCAAAGGACGTGGTTCTGCCTCCACCAGCATCTCAGAGTAAGGATGCAACACAAGACCCTTGCATAAAGACAGACAATGTGAATGAAACAGCTGAAAGTCATGTTGAAAACCAGGTTTCCATCACTACTAAAGATGTTGCCAGCCCTCAGAGCTCACTGAAGAAGGCAAAGAAAACACGAAAGAAACAATTGCTTTTGCTTGATGAGGCAGGTGTCATGGTCACTGGTACACAGGTTGCAGATTTATGTAAACTGTCTGATAGTCAGACCGTAGGATCACAGCAGCCTGAAAAAGATGATGCTGTGGTTGATCAAAAAGACCTCAAAGCCACAAAAACCCCTAAGAAAAGGGGTAGAAAACCTGGACGAAAGAAGAGGAAGATGGCTTGCCTGTTAACTCAAACCATTAAAGAAGAGGAACATAAAGATATATGTTATGACAACAGAATTGTCTGTGATTTTCAAAACAGCACACAAATTCAAACTTCTGAAATTTCACAGAGGATAACAGATATTATAGAAGAACCAGTACTGAAATCAAGAAAATCAACCCGGACACAAAAAATAAACTCAGGTCCAGTTGTTGAGAATTTGTTAACCCAGGGCAAGAGCACAGTCTCTTTAGACATCACTGGGTGTCACACAACACTTGGAGAGACTCTTTCAAGTTCCATGCAAACTGCTGATTATGAAGACCAATGCACTGTTGAGAAAAAGCCACCAAGACGAGGAAGACCCCCTTCAAAGAAAAGCAAGAAACAGAAATTATTTGTAGCACATTTAGAAGATAACACCTCTCCATCTGTCCAGATCTCAGATCTCTCTCCATGTCAAGACAGCACAGAAAGTACTGTCAAAGCAGCTGCAAGTCCAATAAAGCAAAAAGATATGGATAAAAATGTAATTGTTACCAAACAATTGGGGACCGATCCCTCGGAATCCCTTCAGAGTGCTAATGATCTCTTGTCACACAGCATCCCTACATCTGGGCGTAAAAAAGGGAAGAACCTTAAAAGACCAATAAGAGACCCAAAGTTAACGAGCTTGAGAGTATCCAGCAGAACATCTGTAACATCAGTCAAAGGTTTTCAAAAAGCAGACATAACTTCCCTCCCACAAAACTCCACAAATGTGTTTAATGAGGAAGGGAAAACATCGTTGCCTATGTCTGGGACAGTGAAGAAACAGAAACTCTGTGAAAAAAATGCTATACAAGATGGCAATGTGTTGGCAGATAAAAAGATAGAGAATAAGGCAACAATTAAAGTACTGAGAGGAAGAAAACGTGGTCGGAAGAAACGAAAAATTAAAGATGGACAGCTTCAAAGATTAAAAACACAAGATTGTTGTGAACCAGCCAAGGATTTACTGGCAAAGTTCAGTATGACCAGTAAATGTCCCACTGAGGACCAAAATAATATAGTTACACCAGAGAAAAATTATATTGAGAAAACCAAGTCAGACGATGTTGAAATGATCCTACCAATAACTGCAGGGACCTTCAAGTTAACACCAAAAAGAGACATCCTATGCAGTTCTCCCAGTGACCTGTCCTCCAATTTAATGAAAGAAGTCAAGAAGTGCAAAGTGGAAGATTCATTTGAGGTTTCTGTGCAATCCTATACTGATAATACAGGAGGAGTCTCAAGAGGAATTTGTAATTTAATTTCTAGTAATGTGGTCAAGGAGGAGTCAGAACAAATTTCTCTGGATACAAAATTGAAACCCAACATTGAGCTGAAATGTACTCGGGAAGCAGATGGACTAAGTGTGGAAACGTCAGGGGAAAAAGTACTTGATAACCCACCAGAGCCAGAAAATGCATTCCAGCCTTCTACAGATTGGAAGGAGGATAGTTTCACACAGGATAGTGAAGACTGTGTTGTAATGCCAAACAAAGTGACTAATAACAGGACAATAAGATCCAAGCCTAAAGAAATAAAGAAGAAACCTCTCACCTGCAAATACTGTGGAGTTTCCTTTCGGCACATTACAGCATATACCATTCATCAACGTGTTCATACAGGGAACAAGCCCTACAAATGCAAGATCTGTGGAAAAACCTTTTCTCAACTGTCTAAACTAAAGTCCCACCATAACGTACATAAACAGGATACCTCTTTTCCTTGTCCTTGCTGTAGCCAAAGGTTTTTGCAGAAAGATGATTTGCTATGTCATTTTAAAGTTCACCTGCAGGAATCAAAAGCAAACAGTGAACCACAGAAGCACATAAAGAGCAAGAGAAATACTTCATCAAATGTGTCTTCGGAGACCCCAAACAATTGTGGGTGCCTTGTTCGCAAGAAAAACTTTGTAAAACGCGTCAAATTGCAGGATCACATGCAAGTGCATGAAGTGGAGAAGCCCTTGACTTGTAAAGACTGTGGGAAGACATTTTGGAAACAGTCAAGCCTCATAGCTCATGAAAAAACCCACTGGCCTGTTAAACCATATGCTTGCTCGATTTGTGGAAAAGGCTTTAACCAACTAAAAGCCCTAAAAAAGCATTCTCAAGACCATGCTGGTGAGACACCGTTCTCCTGCTTTCACTGCGGTCATGGATTCAGTGCCCTGTCTGCACTTAGGATGCACCAAGCATCCAAAACATGCATTGCAAGGAGAAATGATGAGGCGAGCAGTAACATTGAGGGCTTCATTGTAAGTCAAGGAGTTGATGGTCAAGTGAACACACCAGTATTCTTCAAGTGTCAAATATGCAAACAGCTTTTCAGGAAATGGTGCCAATACACTCTTCACCTTCAAACACACACCAGCTCTCCCCCATATATTTGTTTTTCTTGTGGACAGTGTTATGAGAAGGATTCAGAGATGAATGTGCACTGTGAGGTTTGTTGCCAGTCAAGTGGGGAGGAGAAGATTTGTTGTGCATCACTCGCCGAAATCCTGCAAAGTGTTACCCAAATCTACCCTCTAAAGTGTACCTCATCTCAGAGTGTACCAAGTACAGGATTTCAGCTGAATTCCCAAACACCAACCAGATCAGAACAGCTCCCGCAGCTGCCTCGATCGATGGATGTGGAACCTACACAAACAAGAGATACAGATCTTTCAAAACTTCCTAAAACATACTCTGCTCATTCACCCATCAAGCTCCCAAATGCCCAATCACCCGCTCGTTCTGATGTTAACTGTACTTCCCCAAGTAGCTCTATAGAATGGATTGAAATCACTCAGAGTATTTGGAAGTTTAAGTGTTCACGTTGTGGTCAGCGATTCGAGAGGTACAGGGATTTGAGTGCTCATCTGCAAACGCATGCTCCTGGTTTCAGATATACTTGTGCACATTGTGGACAGTTCTTTGAAAGGTGGAGTAAACTATGGCTACATCAGCAGCGTCATCGCCTAAAAAGCCGTTGTTACTCCTGTACGCAGTGCAATCTGCAGTTTCGTTTCTTTAGCTCTTTTAGAGAGCATATGATTGACCATGCCGGGCAGAGACCATATGCTTGTCCGCTCTGTCCCAAAACCTTCATTCATGAGGCAAGCTTACATGCTCACCAATGTGAGTCTCATAAACTTTGTAAAAGTCTGAAATGTGATGTCTGTTCTAAGACTTTCAGTAGTTTAACAAACCTAATCAAACACAGTCTTCTGCACAATGGTTCTACCTCTCACATTTGTCTCCTTTGTAATCTATCATTCACAAATACAAGAGTCTTAAAGAAACACTTGAAAACGCACACCACACACCATGGACCGGCCCTCCCTGATATTCCATCAAAGCCACTTGATTTTCCTCACAAATGCAAAAGGTGTAAAGCTAGCTTTTCAACTGGAGATTTGCTCTACGCTCATCAGATACGCCATTCTCGAGATGCAAAGACTCGCATCCGTCCAGCAGTATTACCTACCTCAAAATTGTCCGATTCTTGTTGTAATGACACACCATCTTCCCCACCTTCCACTCACAGGAATCATATATCAAACCTCAAACTTGATGGCATACCCAATGATGACAGCCTGTATGTTTATTCCCACCCTGACAAGCTCTATGTGTCCCCCAGTCACAGAGTGCAGCTTCCGGTCATTAATTTGGACCCTGATGAACCAGAGGTCTCAGACTCTCAGAATCCTGGTCCTGAACTTCCAAATAGTGAAATCACTTCTCAATCTGACAGCACACACCTACCTCAGGCCACTTCAGATCAGGAAACCACCAACCTAAATTCAAGTGAAAGCATAAAGATGATGGCAAATGGTCAACAAAATTACAGCCTCAACTGTCAGAGAAGCCCTACATTTGTGGAGACAAGTGTTGACATGGAAGTAGAACAACCTACTCAAGAAGAAGAGTCAGAGGAGAGTTTTGAATGTGCCGACTGTACTGAAAAACTAACCAGCGTGTTGGGCCTTTATGAACATTACATACTTCATGCAATGGGAGATGCATATGTACAAGTACACTGATCATTGATAATGTTAGAAGGTAGACATTTTCCCACAGATATTATGCTTTAAAATGAACGTTTTGACACAAATATGTGTCGACGCTGTTATCTGTTTTACAGTTCCAATGTGTAAAGCAAATATTGGCAGAATGCTTAACTTGTATTTTTTACATCTTGAACAGTGAAAAATTTGCATTACGACTCTTCATTCTAACATGCTTTTTCAACCCTCAGGTTCATTCAGTTTAAAAGTTGTTGCCCACTAGCCACTCTTACATACTATTACTGGGGTCATGTCACTATGCCTTATCTCAGTTATCTCTGTACTGCCATTTATCATCTCCCTTTGTGCCTTCAGTGACAGTTTTGGTTTTGTAAAAGATCTGTAAATAGATATACATAATCCTGTATAACTCCAAAACCTCCTAGTCCTTCCTCTGTAAAAAAAACTTTTAAAATTCAATTTTGTAATATTGAGAGGTGGTTAGATGTAAATTAACCTTGAGCGTTCTATATCTCATATATGAATGTCTGGCTGGGACAAAAATATACTGTTTATTGTAAAAATGTGTAGATCTTGAGAACATTAGAATATTTCTGGAAAATAATGGCTTTGAAAAGATCCAAAAGATTCTATGCTTTTAAGTGGATTCTTTAAAAAAAATAATAAAACATACTGCTTGACATGTGTAATTTTTATTGTCAAACATCCTACTTACAAACCCAGGTAAAATATGTTTTTAAGCAAAATAACAAACTGTAAGGCTTGTGACCAGATGTCATGTGTTTTAATGGCAATAGGAAAAGCAGAAACCATTCAGATTACCACTAAAACAGATGTTTCGCATGGTTTTATCAAATATTCAATAAATTGTGCACAGAACAGAAGGGGAAAAAGATTATTAGCAAGCTATGTGTGAATTTTTGAGGTACCACACAACATTGCAGTAATTTGGTAGTGAATGTCTTAGCAAATCCATAAGCATCTAAAACTGCTTTTATAAGGACTTCGGATAGACACTTCTTGAATTAACTCATTTCACATGTCAAACGGCTTGTACATCAATCACAGGACACTTGAATTTATTTCTTCTTCTCATCTTTTTTCCCCTCTTGTTTGTTACCACTCTGAGAGGCTAGGGAGCCCATGGCATTACGGATGGCCTCATTGTTGGGATCAACACCAGGTAGATTCTCCAGGACACTCTGGAGGAATTCTGGGTCCTGCATTACATCATAATCATCCTCTTCCTGTAGAATCAGTTAAAAAGCACAAGAGAAAAGACAAGTCAGCAGGGAATATAAGGGAACAGTGTTCTGTCACAAGGAAAAGACATGGGGACCGTATATATAATGAACAAAAACTGCTCAGCAATTTGACACTATAAAATACAAGCAAATTTAAAATTTGATTACAGTATCCTGAGACTGATGAGCCCAGCAGACGATATTTTAATTACCTTAGATTCCGCAGTGTCCATTGGAGCTCCCGTATCCATTGACTCTCCGAATTCTGACATAAGAGGGATAATGGTCAATATTACATACTATGTCAAGCACTGAGCATATTCTAAGACTAAGAAGGTACAAGGAGGAGGCACAAACCTCCACCTGCCAGGGACATCTGCATAGCATAGGCTATCTGCTCTTCTTCTGTCATGCTGCTGAAGTCTGGCAGTGCTGCCACACCGCTCTCAGGCTGAGAGGCAGACATCTTCAGAAGAGCTTCTTCTGATTCTGAAGGGGAGAACAAAAGTGGCACAGAAAATCAGGACTTGGTCTTGCAATGGGAATCAACTAAACGGTAAATAATCAAAGACTGACAATCAGTTTAATAATAAAAAGCAAACAGTGCAATTTTACTACTTGAAAATGAACAGGCTACTCAAATGAATCAATACATGAAAAGGTTATTCAGAATGAGGACCATGTTAAAGTCACCATGAAAGGCTACAAAAATGTGAAAGATGCTTTATGCTGCCAGATCGTGTAGTACCAGCATCTACCAGCAGTGGCTAACAGGGTCATACTAACCAGCAAGACCTAATACGCAATCCTTAAAATTTTGGTACATTTTGAAACCTGCAATCTACCCAGTACTAGCCCAGAGCCACTATGCTTATCATCCTTCACTATTTCAAACATTTACGCACATCCTTACCGTCAGCGGTTGAGGTGGGAATGCCAGCCTCAGCTGCTGATTGGGCGGCCGCCCTTCGAGTCTCCTCTTCCTGCCTCTGCCTTTGTTCCTCCATAGATACACGCAGAGCCTGTGGATCAAGAGCAACTTAAAGAAACATCTCCCCTTTCAATGTAATTAGAAAAGATCAAGTGAGATTAAAGTAAAAATACAAAAAAAAAAGTTTCTGACTTAATGAAGTTACTGGTAAACAATCAAATTTAAAGCATCACAGAGCTTAAGTGTTCACACATTTTGAAGGAATCAACCTATAAATGCTTTACTCACGATGATTCTGCATATTTAACATATGTATCAGTAGTTTCACCGTAAAATAAATGATACATTTCACCTGTTAAGTTTATGGACTCGTTCTTCAGTGCAGTTATACAAAAGAAGAATTTGTATCTTACCAGGGCCAGTTCTGGGTCTGCACTGGGGTCCACTCCAAACTCAAAGTCACTTGCACCCATCACGGTACCACCCTCACCAGCTAAGATGGGAGAAGACAGAAGGGCATCAGCCAGGCTGGGCCCAGGGGGCACTGTGACCAGATGAGAACCTGTGCCCTCCTTTCCATTCAGAGTGTTCACAAATGCAGTCAGTTTCTCTGTGTTCACTTCCTGAACAGATTGATTACAAGAGAGAAAGTAAAAAATCAAAGCAAGGAAATCGGAAAGATTTTAAAGTGGTCAAAAAAAAAAAAGGTTTCATGCCAGTTACCTCTTCTCCAAAATTTATCACATCTACATTGACCTTTTCTTTTTTCAACCGCTTTGCCAACTTTACCAGCTGGAAAAGATTTGGTGAAAAAAATTTGTAAATTGTATTACCCAAAATATTCACAATTGACTAATCATGAAAGATGAAAAGCATTTGTCATTCATGAACAACAAATAAACGTACATCTTTTTCGTTGTCCTCTACTGGGCTGCCCACAAAAGCAACAATCCTCATCTTGTGGTTCTTGCCTTGTCTATGCTTTAGTGCCAGCTAGATGCAGATATACACAAACGTAAATGTTAGCAGATTAAAATACTACTTTCACTTTTTTTTAAAGGAAATTCGCCAAAGCATGTATGAACTTCTTTCCTCTATGGAACACAAAAGGAACTCTCTTTGAGTAAACTATCCATTTAGCCCTCTATGAATGTACTTACATGTGCCACTCGTATGCTAGTGCAGAAGGAGATTTCTCCCAGTGGCTGAATCGCATGAAGCTTTGAGACAATGCGGCCTGTGTCTGATGTTAAAGTGGTGAGGACCTCACAATTACTGCACCAAACCAAAAGATGTGTAATTACACGCAAACAACACCATTGTCTGACAGATCATACATGTATGAAATAAAATACAACACCGACATACTTACTTTGCCATTGTGATTAGGCCCACATTGTTCTCTGGGTTAGTACGGGTCTTTGAGTGACAGACAATGTTGACAGCATCCTGCTGTGCCTGTAATCTGGTGGGCAGGAAATCTCCATTCCTCATGTATTCACTGTTGTCCACACTGTTAAGACATGAAGACAATCAGCATGTTTCCATCAAATGCATACAAGTGCAAGAGCATAAACTGAGTGCTGACATTTGCAAGAGATAAAAAATAATAATAATAATAATCAAACACTAGCACTTGGTGATCCTAGTTTTATTTACACAACAGTCAGAGTAAGTAAACTGGATCCCAGCAGTGGAAAACTGCTTTAGATAAATGTCCGTGAATCAAAACCAAGTGAGCTGCCTATCTAGACATCTTTTGAGGGCGTTATACTAACAATTCTGCTCACTAGTGTCTGAGACACAGCCAGAATCGCTTCATGACAGTTCTAGAAGACTAAATAAGACGCTATCAAATTGAGATCACTAATAAGTGATGATTGTTTATGAGTCATAAATCTGTTTTTGTGTTAGTGGTCCGTTTCTTTATTGCAGAGCTACGTGCTGAATAATGACTCAGGAGAAAGTCATTCTATTCAGAAACCGGCTATTGAATTCTCTTACTTGTTCTAATTTAAGGGCTCAAAAGTGCGACAGAACAAAAAAAAACTATGTATTTACAGTAATTATGAGGAGTATTAACTATGTAAAAAGCGCAAATATATCTAAAACAACGCGTTTGTTTATTTCTTACCAGACCATAGTACTTTCGAGCACCATCTTGGAAATCCTCTAGTCCGTTTCCCAAAGTCACAGCGTCGCTGATTGGCTTACAGATGTAGGACATTGACGAGATTTGTAGCAGCAAAGCTGATTGGCTGACGGTTCCGTCGGTACTTCTGTTACAGGACGCGGTGTAGAACTGTATTTGTCGCGCCTACATGTGGTGGGAGTTCGCGTTACTATATATATATATATATTTATTTATTTATTTATTTATTAGCAGAGGTGGGACCAAGTCATTGTTTTGCAAGTCACAAGTAAGTCTGGAGTCTTTGCATTCAAGTCCCGAGTCAAGACAGACAAGTCCCAAGTCAAGACAGGCAAGTCCAAGTCGAGTTGCAAGTCCTCAACTTTAAGATTCAAGTCTTAAACAAGTCATTAGTGTTCTTTGCCCAAATTAGTGTCTCAGTATTAATTACCATATAAAATTTATAGTAATTTATATCAGGAAGGCAGGTAGAATAGGCCTATGTTTGACATAGTTCAATTTCATGTGAGATGGGCGCTTTTCACGAGCGGAGATCGCTACTAGACGAATCATGTAATTTGTTTTTTTTCTTATCTCGGTTCTTTTGTGGTAAGTTGTGCTATTACTCCAGTAATTTATACTAGCCTATATATCCAGCGCTCCCTGAACGCAGTCTCTGGCTTATTGCCAGTCAAGCGCAAGCACGCTGCAGGGACGCGTCTATAACGACTTTGATCTGATCATAGTCTTTCCGAGTCACAGGGCTCAAGTCCAAGTCAAGTCTCGAGTCATTGCTGTCAACGTCTAAGTCGAGTCTCAAGTCTTCTTTAATTATGTCGAGTCTCGCAAGTCATCAAATTTGGGACTCGAGTCAGAGTCAAGTCTGGAGTCGTGTGACTCGAGTCCACACCCCTGTATAATTATATATATATATATATATATACACACAGGTACATCTCACAAAATGAGAATATCATGAAAAAGGTCAATATTTTTTGTCACTCATTTCAGAAAGTGAAACCCATATATTATATAGATTCATTACACACAGAGTGAAATATTTCAAGCCTTTATTTCTTGAAATTTTGATGATTATGGCTTACAGATAATGAAAACCCAAAATTCAGTGTCTCAGAAAATTAGAATATTACATAAGATCAATTAAAAAAAAAGTATATTTTAAACAGAAATGTCAGGCTTCTGAAAAGTATGTTCATGCACTCAATACTTGGTTGGGCCTCCTTTTGCATGAATTACTGCATCAATGCGGTGTGGCATG